AGCCCCGAGACAGTCACACCACCAGGAGGGGCGATCCCGGCCTGCAGCCGCCTTTGCAGGCCGCCCTCTGTGCCTAGTCCAGACCCATGGCAAGGATGGAGGCGCCCTGCCGCCTCCTGTGAGGACTGAAAGCCTGAGAACACAGGAGTGGTGAGGGGGGGCCCTCAGAGGAGACCGACACCACACCTGCCAAGGGCAGAGAGAGGGGGACAGAGACAGAGGGAGAGGGAGAGACCGGGGGAGAGACAGGGACAGAGGGAGAGACAGGGCACAATTTGCTGCCCAGCCCACTGATTTCTGGCTCTGGGGGCCTCTTAGTGCCGAGGGCGGTGGCGCTGCCCCCGGTGGACTCTGCAGAGCTGTCCCATCCCACCTGTGCTGCTGTGGAAATTGCAGCACCTTGCGATGCAGGGCTCACCGTGACCCGCCCCTGCCACACATCCCATCCCAAGGCACCCTGGGGACCCCAGTGAGGCCACCTGCAGGGAGCCCACCTCCATCCACGAAAACGGGGGGTGTGAGAGAGCACTGGGAGGACCAAGGCCCCCAGGAAGCTACAGACAGAGTCACTGCGCCATCAGAGAGAACAGAAAGGGGCTGGAAGAGCTACCTGCCCCGCCGGTGCTCCCAGCAGCCAGAGGGAAAGACCACCCGGGTGTCTGTAGACAGAGGAGGGACCTAGAATGGGGCCCAGGCCATCCCCAGGGGACGCGACTCAGCCTTAACAAGGAAGGAATTCTGACACGGGCCCCACTGGGTGCACCTTCAGGACGGTGTGAAGATGCAGGCGCAGAAGGATAAGCCTCGTGCCAGGCCTCCCATTGGAGGCCCCAGAGTTACCAGGTCCATGGAGACAGAGCAGGTGGTGGGGGCACGGCGTCCGTCTGGGAAGCTGAGGGAGCTCTGCAGATGACGTGGAGACGTCTGCACAATGAGAACGCTCATTAGAAAACGGCTGAGATGGTGAGTTTTATGTGATGGACTGTGGGGGGGTGCATAGCCAGCCACGGCCCAGGTGGGTGCTGGGCAGCTCTGCCCGGCATCGACCCTCGGCCCACCCCATCGTTGCTCCCGGCCTGCAGTGGCGCGTCGGAGTTGGGGGCTCAGGTGCCCTCATGTTCCGTGGTGCTGCGGGTTCACGTGCCCTCACCCTTCGGCAGACGCCACTTCCTGCCTCTCCGAAGTAGCAAGGCCCCGCCTGCGTGTGAAGAGCGAGTCTTCCCTGCCCCCGAGGGCCCAGCACCCACCTCCACGAGCGGAGCGTCTCCAGCCAGGATCTCGGGATTCGGTTTCCTTGAAACTCACTCCAGTTCAAAAATTAATGGAAAAGTGCTTGGCAAAACTTGTTCAGAGCTTTATTGAACCAAAACACTTTAAAAACAGTTTGGGAAGTGCAGTGAACCCCAGCTGTGGCTCAGCCCCACGTCTGGGCGGTTCTCTCTGTCCACCAGGTGATGGGAAGCCTGGACCGGAGCTGGGGCCAGGCTGCCAGGGGAATGCTCTGCGCAGGCATCGGGAGAGGAGCAGAGCATCGCTGCCGGAGGCCGGGGCAGAAACAACTGGCCCTGGGGTGCCGCCTAATTAAACAGATCTGGGTGAACCAAGTCGTTTAAACAAAACTGTTGGAATTTTGCCATTTGAAAAATACTGTTGTTATTTTGCAAGACAAAAACAATGGAGAGTTCACAGGGACAAACCCAAACTTGCCAGAAACGAGAAGTGGGAGGTGTTTACCCAGAGGGGCCAGCGCTAGCAAAAGGCACTGCCTGGGATGAGCAGGGCCAGCTCTGGGCGTGCCCACCTGGCCTCCCCACACACACACACACTGCGAGGGGCGCACACCCGGTGACAGCCACGGCTTGTCCTGCGGAATGCGGAACGGAGGAGACCAGGCTCTGAAGCAGCTGCCTCTGTCCGGCCTCACAGGTGCCTGACTCCCTAAGACGAGGCCAAGTGCAGGACCACTGCCTCCCTGTGAAGCGGTCGCTGGCTTTCCAGGGCCAGGGACCGGGTCTAGTGCCTGGGACAGCTCACACGTGGCATCCTTCCCACGCTGTGCACACCGTTGGAGTGTCAGCTCAGCCCTGTTTGTGCTTCCTAAGAGAAATGAAGCTTTCAAGAGCCATCTTCTTCCTGGCATGGTGTGAGGCCCAGTGGCTGCGGCGGCTGTGCAGGGCGGCCTCCTCGCCCGGCTTCCCTCTTAGCTAGAGTTGTTGTTTCATCTGCCCCATCCCTGTGCCCCCCACCCCATGGAGGAAGCAAGGACCCTGTTGACGGCAGCTCTCCTGTGAATGAGGCCGCCTTCAGGTGCAAGGGACAGAATACCACATTAAACTTGACTGAGCAGAAAAGGGACATTACTTCCTCACCAAGGTGAAGACCCCAGGGGCAAGCTCTCAGGCCCCACTGGACGCAGGGGCTCAAGCAAGGTGGGGAATCGGCCTCTGGAGTCCCTGTTTCCACAGCAGGAGGGCGTCCTTCAGTCCCAGCTCCAGAAGAAGAGAGCGTCTCTCCCAGCGGCTGAGGGGCAACACAGGCAGCTTCCCTGGCTTTGGGGTCTGTGCCCCCACAAGGGCTGTGGCGGGAGCCAGCAGGGACATTCCCATGACCCCCTGGAGTTTAGACCAGGCAGTGGGGGTCCTCAGGCAAAGGTCGTCCACAGGGAGAGCTCTGTCCAGCAGGAGCGCCCTGGGCGCTGGCCTGGAAGGGAGTGTCTCAGTGGAGGCGCAGGTGCGGTGTGGGTGCTGCCAGGCCACTGAGGGGACATGCATTCCAGGAAACACCACAGCACACTGTGACAAGCGTTGTATCCAGGAAAGAATGGAAACCACTGCCCGGCCAGCCGAGTGTGGTGGCTCACACCTGTAATCCCAGCACATCAGCAGGCCAAGGCAGGTGGATCACCTGAGGACGGGAGTTCGAGACCAGCCTGACCAATATGGTGAAACCCCGTCTCTACTAAAAATGCAAAAATTAGCCGGTGTGGTGGTGGGCACCTGTAATCCCAACTACTCTACTCGGGAGGCTGGGGCAGGACCACTTGAACCTGGGAGGCAAAGGTTGAAGTGAGCTGAGATCACCCCCCGGCACTCCAGCCTGGGCGACAGAGCAAGACTCCATCTCATTAAAAAAAATAAAAGAAACCACTGCCCTTTGGGTTGGTTTCCTGGGGTTGCCATCACAAATGGCCACAAACTAGGTGGCTTGAATGGCAGAAACCTGTCCTCACAGTTCTGGAGGCCAGAAGGCACAGTCAAGGGTCAGCATGGCCGAGCGCCCTCTGAAACCTGCCAGGTCCCTTTGCTTCCTCTTCCGGCTCACTGTAGCCCCAGCCGGTCCCTGGCGTGCAGAGCCATCACCCCAGTCTCCACCTCTGTTGCCACACGACATTCCCCTTGCCTGCGCCTTCCCCTCCTAAGAGGGCAATGGCCATAATCGGGGTCCCCTTAATTGACACTATCTTAACTAGTTACAACTGCAGAGACCCCACCTATCAAATTAGGTCTCATTCCAGAGACCAGGGACTTCAGTGACTCTTTTTGGAGGGTGAGTTGAATTCACAACAGCATTGTTCTGAATAATGATTCAGCTGTGTTGAACCATTAGCAGGCACCTGTCATTGGCCTGCCCTGAGAGGTGGAGGCTGTTACTGTCGGCTCCCATAGGTGTACCGGAATCCAGACTCAGGCTGGGGGTGCTCCGTGAACCCATCCCCAAGAAACTGGTGAAGTCAAAACCCCCAGCCATTTAAAGTCTCTGGAAATGGTCCTAAGGACAAACAGCAGCTGAAGACACACCCATTGAAAAAGGTCTGATTTTTTTTAATTGCCTTTAATAGGAAAGGTGAAGATGTTTGGTATTTTAACCAAAGCCCCAAAACCACTCCCTCCTCCCCTCCCCTCCAGAGTTGGGCAGCTGAGGACCCCAGCTCCTTCCAGCAGCTCCCCGATGGAGCAGGAGAGTGACCCTGGGGGACAGAATGTCGGTGTTGCTCATCCTCCCCATCTGCCTGCTGCTGGGGCTACTCGGTCCTGAGGGAATCTGGTGGAGGGGTGGGGGTTCCCACTCATGGGTGGGAGGCTGGGCCTTGGGTGTGGCACACTCAGAAGACAAGAAGCCCTTGCCCAGCTGACAGGACAGTTATTCCAGGCCAGGAGAGGCCAGTGGGATCTCAGGATGCTGCCCCCCATCAGGCGCTCAACTCCGAGAGACAGTGGGTGTCCTTCACATGGAGCTGTGTCCCCATCCCCAGCCCAGAGCAAACTCTGAGAGACAGAGGGCGTCCTTCACATGGAGCTGACAGTGTCCCCATCCCCAGCCCAGAGCATTGGCTCAGAGATTTTGCTTGGAGTGAGAAGCAGTAAGTAAAAGAGATGGTTTCTAATCTCCTCCCCAAAAGAACCAACTTCATTTGCAGCAGAACACTGGAGAAGCTGAAAGCCCAGGGTCCTCTCAAGAACGTGGAGGTTGTCATAAAAGGCATTTGGGACATTCGTGGATTTAATGCAGATTGAGGACTGTGATAGCTGAGAGGAGCCCTCCAGGGCCAAAACAAATATCAAACATGGACATCAGAAGCTCTCCTTTAAATAAGGCACAACTTAACTGGATTAATTGTAGAGTAATTTATGTCCCAGATATTGTTGAAAACAGTAGAGCAATCCAATGGCAGCTGGTGGAATTTAATAGCTGGGTGTGGTCAGGGAAAGAGAGGAAGAGATCTCTATCAAAATGCTGTCATTCCAGGGTGACTCTGGGCACATGGAAGCCACCTCTCCCTAAGGAGCAAGCCAGAGGCATAACACTACTGGCTGGGCTGGGGGGTGGGGGGATGGGCTAGGCTTCACTCCAGTAACCTCACAAGTCACCACACCAGTAAGTAAGCAAATAACTAAACAAGCCCCACACAGGGGGACCAGTATCTAGAGCTGCTACAATACATTGTCTAAAATGCCCAGTTTCTAACAAAACATTGTGAAGCATGCAAAGAAATGCAAAACTACGACCCCCACATTTAAATTAAAAAAAAAAAAAAAAAAAACAGACATCAGAAACTGCCTGGGACAATGACCAGATATTGGATTTAATGGAAAAAGACGTCAAAATATCCTTTATATGCTCCCAGAACTAAAGAAAATCTTGATTAAAGAAGTAAAAGAAGGCACGACGACAATGTCACATCTCGTAGAGACTGTTGATAGACAGAAACTATAAAAAAGAACCACGAGGAAGTCTGGAGCTGGAAGGCAGGATGGCTGAAGAGAGTAATTCTCTGTCGGGACTCAACAGTCGATTTGAACTGGCAGAAGAAAGTGACTTGAAGATGCATCAGTGGAGATGACACAAACCCAGCACAGAGAGCAAGTAGAATTAGAAAGGCAAGGAGAGGCTTGGAGAACAGAGGGACACGTGAGGTCACCGAGGACGCACAGGAACGGGCCGGAGAATGGAGGGACACGTGAGGTCACCGAGGACACACAGGCATGCGCCGGAGAACGGAGGGATGCGGTGAGGTCACCAAGGATGCACACACATGGGCTGCACTAGAGGGAAAGGAGAGAGGAAGAAAGAGATGAAAAAATGTTAAAAGAAAAATGGTCGAAATGTTGCAAATTAGTTTTAAAAAATAACCTGCAAACCAGGATTCTCATTGAACTCCAACTGGGGCAAACCTATAGAGACTCACGAACTGATACATAAAATGCTGAAAGTCAATAATAAGGAGAAAATCTCAAAAGCCAAAACAATAAAATAATGTATCACTTAAAAGGGAACCCCAATAAGGTGAACATACGACTTCTAAGCAGCCACTATGTGAGCCAGGAGGCAGTGGCCTAAGGTAGCCAAAGGAAAGGAAAGGAGACAAGAGGGGAGGGGTAGTGCGGAATAGGGAGAGGGAGGGAGAAAGGAAGGCAGGAAGGGACGGAGGGAGGAAACCTGTCAGTCCCAAATCCAGTGCTCCGCAGAACGTTCCTTCAAGACTGAAGGTGAAAGACTTTCAGAAAAACAGAGTTTGTTGCTAGCAGACCCATCTGACAAAAAATACTCAAGGAAGTTCTTGAGGCAGTGAGCAGGAAACTTTAGACAGTGACTGAAATCACAGGAAGAAAACAGAGGGCCACTTACAAGACAGTACAAATACACATTTCTCCTTTTAAAACTGATGTGAAAAGTGATTGTATAAAATAATGATTATCAGAACATATTCATAGGTTTGTAACGTGACTGTTTATAAAGCAGAATGTATAAAAGGGGGAGAAGGGAATGGACGTAGCTACATAGGAATAGTGTTTTGTGTGTCACTAAACTATTACAAATCTGAAGCTGACTAACGTGAAAATGAATATGGTAAATAGTTGAGCAATCCCTAAAGCAAAAAGAAAAGTTTTAAAAAGCTTCACTAAAAATAATGCAAAGAAATAAAAAGAAAACAAATAAATGAGGGGAAGACATATGAAAAGTGAAATGGCAGCTCTCCATGCAGCTATATCAATAATAACATCAAATGAAAGTGGATTTAACAACCAAGGAAAAGCAGACTGTCAGTCTGAATTAAGAAAACAGGACCCAACTTTCTGCTGTCTACAGAACACGTACTTTCTATTCAAAGATTCACACAGAGACTAAGATGATGGGAAAAGAGCACCCAAAGAGCAGCCTCAGGATGGCCGGGGAGGCTACTCATGTGAGACAGAAAGCCTCTTGAAAACAACTGTATGAAGATGAATGTTTACAGCGATAAGAGCACCACTCTGTGAGAAAGACATAACAATTATGAACAAATGTGCAGTCAACAAGAGAACCCGAAAATGTATGAAGCAAAAGCTCAGAATGAGGAAGAAAGTTCTACGACAGAGAAGGGGGACTCTACAGAATGAGGGAGAAAGTTCTACCACAGAGAATGGGGACTCTCTACAGAATGAGGGAGGAAGTTCTACCACAAACAATGGGGACTGTCTACACACTGAGGGAGAAGGTTCTACCACAGAGAATGGGGACTCTACAGAATGAGGGAGAAAGTTCTACCACAGGCAATGGGAACTCTACGGAACAAGGGAGAAAGTTCTATCACAGAGAATGGAGACTCGACAGAATGATGAAGAAAGTTCTATCACAGAGAATGGGGACTCTACAGAATGAGGGAGAAATTTCTACCACAGAGAATGGGGACTCTCTACAGAGTGAGGGAGAAAGTTCTACCACAGACAATGGGGACTCTGCAGAATGAGGGAGAAAGTTCTACC